ATTCTGTACTCAAATTGTTAAAAGGGTAGATCTCATCATATACACTTATTATTAAAAAATCAAGTAAAGTGAATAAATAAAATGTGGCATACACAAAAAATGCAATGCTAGTCTTAAAAGACAATTAGAGATTCTTTAAAAAAGTAAAAGAAGTTTATACAAGTTTAACTGATCTATCTCAAAAACAGTTATAACCAAAATGATCGATGAGAGTTTAGATTTGTGGTGTGGTACTGTCTATTGTATCAGACATCTGTTGGGCTTTTAGAACACACCTACTTCAAATATATTGTCAACAGCCACAGCCACATTGTTAAACCATACATCCCTCTCCCAGTATTATATGTAGTTAACCCAGCTTCCAGTAACCACCATGAAACTCTGTGTCTATGAGATGAATCCATTTGAGCTCAAACAAGAGTGAAATTGTGCAGCGGGTAGGTCTCTGGATAAGTTCATTTTCTATAAAGTGTTCAGGTTCTTACATGCTGTTGCAAATGACATGATTTCCTTCATATAGCTAAACAGCCCCTCAGTGTGCACATAGTCTCCATGCACTTTTGCAGTCACCCAGTTGAGAGACATTTTGGTTGACTCTGCATCTTGGTATTGTGAATTTATTAAAGTGCATCAAATGTTTGTTCTGCATATATTGAGGTCACTCACGTGGATTCATCCTCTGTTCTGGTAATGTGATGTATAGTGCTTGTTGCTTTGCACATGTTGGCTCAGGCTTGTATCCACTTTTGCAGAGTATTTTTACATCTCTGATCACCAAGCATATCAGCAAACATCATCAATCAGAGTAGTGATTGAGTCATAAACTGAGTTTGAAGTATTGTCTCCTTTTCAGTGTATTGAGAGTTTGAAAATGGTATCTTTAAATATATTTGTATCTTTAAATATCACCTTGTTCTGGGCTTTTTTTTCACAAGAGGTATTTTAGTACCCACTCAATGTAAAAAGAAAAATCTTAAACACCGATACCCATGCCAACTCACATGAATTTTGAAAATTCACATACAACACTAATGTCACATACTTATTACACTCACTGCACTGAATGAAGTAAGAGACACAGCAGAAGGTCAAGGGTGAGCCAAGGGATTCAATTCTCAGCTCCTCAAAAAAAAAACAAAAAAATAACACGTGGCAAAAGAAAAACATAATCTATTTTTCTAACTATGAAGAAGCTAGACAATCAAATTCTCTAAAAACTATATAATCCAGTGGTTACAAGGGACTGATAAACAGAGCTAACCTACTATGTAACTGTTTACTGAGTAAAGTGCAACAATTTAGGAATGTGGAATATGTCTGTAGATAATGAGAATGGCAACTGTTTTAAAGTGTGATATACTTAATGCCACAAATATTAAATTTGTAAAAATAATGCATATATATTTAATACATGAAACAGTTTTTCAAATAATCAGATTATTTTTGAATGAAGTTGGTAAATATTAATGAATACTGAGAAGACAGTTGAAAGCTTTGCAATGATTCTTTGATCCTGGAATCTGGAGTATGTTCGTTTGTTCAAAATTAAGTTGATAACAATGAAACCATGAAAAGTTGATAACAATGAAAACCAATTTCATGTGAGGTTGAAGCCTGTTTTCATCTCCTCAGAAGCTACAGGAAATAAGACAGTATGTGAGTATTCCTTCCAGAGAGTTTCCATTCTTCATCTGCAGTCATCTTTGCTATGAATGCTTAACTGTGACCTCCTGCATCTCTACCATTAGAAAATTGGGGTCTAATTCTAGCTATCAGTGCTATCTCTGTGGAATATAAAATAAGGATGAATGCCTGTGAATTAATCTTGAAAATAGGCATCTAAGTATTAATCATGAAAGTTTTTTACTATATCTAGGACTTTTAAATTTCCAGTTTTTAGCACCAGAGATTCCTGTCTTCCAAATTAATTTGTTACTAATAAAAACATCACAACCTCCCAAGGGACACATAGCCTTTAATACAGGCAAATTTTCAATTCCTCAGAGAAACCACAGAATTTTTTCAGTTGTATTTTCAGAAACGTTTAGCTTCTGCCTTACAACCACTCCACATTCTAGGCCAGGTTCAATAATGTCAGCATTACCAAGGAAATCATTAAGGATGTTTTCCAAATTGTAGTAATGAAATATTGTTCTAAATTATGGTGTAGAAATAGTTTTAACTGCATTTCACCTATTTCTAAAATTAATAACAATGATGCCTATGATGATCAAGTGGGAGTAAGAGAAAGACCTTGATTGTCACATTGGCAAAAATTTCAGCAGAGCAATTACTAATCCTCTGGGAACCCAAGAGGTAAGCACAAAGCCCTTTGATCCATGGAAGTCTCTTTAAACATCTATCTCTACAGTGCATGAAGAAAAGCTTGCAACCTCTGCAAGAAATGACAGCAGCAGAGTGGCAGACCAAGAAGTGAAGCTTTGAGAAATGCTGCTCCTGGGCTTCAGTGGTTTTCCAGGGAAACAGTTAAAAGGTAACTGAGCTAGGAGTATAAAGAATTATCTCTCCACACTGAATGTGGATTCTTAGGAAGGAAAATTTTGTGTAGAAAATAATGCCCAAAGAATCACATTCTATTATTTTACATATTTTAGAGCTGAATATACTAATTTTTGATATTTGGTAAGTTGATTTTCTTTCCAGTGTTTTTATTTGCACTGAATAGATCTCAAAGACATATATTTTTAGCAAAGAGAGTAAGTAGAAAGTAAATCCCTGAAGTATCAATTTTTTCTAACACAGCTCATATTCTAACTAAATCCAGATTGACAATAAGAATCAGAGGAACTATAAAATGACCAAACTGTAACAGTGTTTGAAAAGGTAACTTCAATGCTCCACCTCTCAATTTAGAGCACCCTCTCAAAGCTGTGCTTCCTGTACCAGAAGAGAAGTGATGACCACATTCAGTCTAAGCACTGAGAAATCCACTAGCAACCAAGCCCAGGTCAGTGGAAACTAAACCTTTTCCCCAAAATTTTGTAGACATTAATCAATCACTTTGCAATGAAGTATTTGTAGTTACATAATTGACCTAAAGTTCAATTCTCTGATTCAAAAATTAATTTGGACTGAAGAACATAAAAATGTTAATAGAAAATCTTTTAGTAACATTTTCAAGACCATTTGAATATGATTAAAGTCATTGTAAAGCATTGCAGTTGATATGAAGATCTCCCCAGGTACAAAACAAATCTATATATTCATGTTTCCAATCACCGGGGCACCATTTCTTGAAAAGAATACTATTTCTCTATTGAATTTCCTCCGCACTTTTGAAAAAACTCATCCAAGGTTGAGTCTATTTCTGGGTTTTCTCATTTTTCTGGACTTCTTCAATGGTCTATGAGTGTTCTCTCACCAATATTACTACACTTACAGTTGTATAATTAAAATCTTCTAATATGAAACAATGAAATGTGTTGTTTTTACAAAATTGTTGTCAATGTTCTTGTCATTTTATCTATTAGATCTGTAGACTAGCTTGTCTATTTATAGAAGAAATTAATGTGTTCTGTGTCATATTTCTTTGAATCTATAGATCAGTTTCTCTAAATGATGGTGACTTGAATTTTTACCTTTTCATGTTTTTTATGTTGTAACTTTGAATGAAGTATTTGTGAATTAAATTCACTATTTATAATTATCCAGATATAAACCATAGATTAAAAGAGGACAACAAAGTTGCTGAGTTATTGTGAAAACCTAAGATAATTTTCCTCACATCCATTAAAGCTGAGAAGTCATGATACTGATATTGGTGTTCAGAAAAATAATTTTGGTGGCAAGTGTGAGACTGTGATTTGATGCCCTGTACCAACGCCCCAGATAAAGAAAAAGAAAATAATTTTTTTGAAAAATTTGTATTCATGTTTTTGACAGGGATTTGGGTTAGAAACAGAAAAGAGAAAGAATAAAAATCGACTTATATTTACATTGAAAAATTAAAGCTTAGATCATTCCAGAAATGGATTAATTGTTATATGTTCAATATTTCCATCAGTTAGCAATGAAAACTATATATTCAATATCTTAATTAACTGAGTTAATTCAAGAGCAGAAATTTTATTATAATAGGTGACCTTATCATTTGTGTCTTGTCATTGGACATAAGGTAATCTTGTGTTTTTTTTTTAATTCTATTTGCAAAATTTAAGCACTAAAATTATCTGATACACAACATATTTCTATATGTGACAAAAGTTCAACTACAAATGAAATTTCTTTTATATAAATGCATGAAAATTATTGGATCTTTGCATTATGTGTATAACCACTTATAAATATGAAAGAAAAACAGCATAGAATAGAGGGTGCTGTTGTGTCATGCATGATACTTATGGCTGTTTCAGGAAATATGTTCAGCAAGCTGTAACACTAATAGTTAATTTGCAGTCACACAGAAAACAACTCCATGTGTAGATCTTTCTTTATCTCTATGTGCATTCATATGATTGGAATAATGAATCACAGAAGATAGCTTATACATTTTGAGCAAGAGTTGTCACATTGCTATACCATACACAGATGATTTTAATTAATGCTGTTTTTGTACTTCCATAAGTGCTCATGAATATAGATATGCATAAGTTCATAATAATAATGATTAATCATCTTTCTATACACATACACAACCTAAATAATGAAAAGAAAATCGCTTTTAAAATTTTTAGAGTAAGAAATTGTGGGCATCAAAATAGCATTGATTCTTAAGAACATTTGCTTAGCTTTAGTAACACTTGTAAGTCACAAGTATTATTCTATTAAAGTGGATTAGGAGAAATCTGTCTCCATTCTTTTCTATAAAGTTTTCTACAAAGAATCAAGGTGAATAAAATATATCTCCATTAATTTCATAAAACAGGGGTACTGAACTAATGAAATATTTTAGTATGAGTTTATAATATCATCATCTCAGGTTACCATGACTTTCTTTCCAGTAGACCATATGCCCAAACTCCATGACAACTGATAAAAAAATGAGGAATGTAACAGAATTCATCCTACTGGGCCTCACTCAAAATCCACAGATGAAGCAACTCTTATGCATTGTGTGTTTCATCACCTATGTGATTACACTAGCAGGAAACATGTTTATCTCCATCATCATCTTCATCAGCCCAGCCTTGGCTTCTCCCATGTACTTCTTCCTATTCTGTCTGTCCATTATAGATGGTTTTTACTCTTGCTGTGTAGCTCCCAAAATGATCCTTGACTTGATCTCTGAAAAGAGCACCATATCCTTCAATGGATGCATGACTCAGCTCTTTGCTGATCACTTTTTTGCTGCAGTGGAAATCATCCTGCTCATTGCCATGGCCTATGACCACTATGTGGCCATCTGTAAGCCCTTGCACTATGTGACCATCATGAGCGTACCTGTGTGTGCTTTCCTGGTGGTGGTCGCAGTGCTCTTAGGAATACTTCATGGGGGGATACAGGTTCTGTTTATTGCCCAGTTACCATTCTGTGGCCCCAACGTCATTGACCACTTCTTGTGTGATTTATTCCCACTCCTGGAGCTGGCTTGCACTGACACCCACACTCTGGGGCCCCTGATTGCTGCCAACAGTGGGTCACTGTGTTTACTCACTTTTTGTATGCTGGCTGTGTCCTATGTCATTATCCTGTGCTCCTTAAGGACATACAGTTCTGAAGGGCGCCACAAAGCCCTGTCCACCTGTGCCTCTCATGTTACAGTTGTTGTCTTATTCTTTGTGCCTTGTTCATATCTTTACCTGAGATCTATGACCTCCTACCCCACTGACAAGGGTGTGGCTGTGTTTGTAACACTAGTAACACCCATGCTGAACCCCTTAATCTACACCCTCCGAAATGAGGAAGTTAAAAAGGTTATGAAGAAACACTGGGGTCAAATAATGAAAAGAGGTACTTAAGAAACCTTGTAATTTGTGTTTAGAAAGAATACTATTAATATTTTATGGGAAATTGTTCAGTGTGTTGACTAAGTAGAATTCGAATGTTTTCCTATCTGCATCCAATTGTTTCTTTGACATATATGAAGAATATAGATTAGGATAGAAAGGAGATTTATCAGCACAGTATTATATTGATCAAAGTATGATAATTAGCACTTTAATGTCTTTATTCATCATGTTTTCATGTTAGGGTTCTTTAAACTTCTCTCTTCTAGTTTTGTTCAAAATATGGAATAAATTAATGTAAATACAGTCACAACAAAGAGAACTCATTTCTCCTAATTTCATTTTGATACTCATCATTGAAACCTCTCCCAATCCTCATTTTCTGCATCATTTCTAGTATTTAATGACCATTATTTTCAGATCAGCTTCTATACGTTTTACTTTAGACAAGGAGAAAGGAAAAGAAGGCTCTGAATACTAAAATTCTTACAGGAAGCTGTAAATCCTGTAAGCAAAATTTGTATCATTGATATGACTGCTAAGATTCACAAATCTGAAGTGCAGAAAAAAATGCAAAGCATGAATGCAATGTAATACTACAAGGTCCAGAAAGAGTCAGATGCTTCAAACTCAGAGAGGAAAAGCTTAGGGTTAAAAAGCCCTTATTACTGAACTAGCTTCAATATTAATTCTCCTTCATCTCTCTATATGACTCTGCATCAGAAAAGGGAATACCATAGCATACTTAGTTAAACTCAGACAGCTATGTTATTTTATTTGAAACTAGGTAGCAGTTGAAAAACATTGTAGAAACTGTTCAGATCTCTACAAGTTTCAAAGTTGTCACCAGTGCATGTTGGATGTTAGGTGTAGCTATTTACATAAGAGCAATATAAGGACACAGCTACTGTTCTTCAGTAGGCATGATGAGGAAAAAAAAAAAAAAGACCCATGATGTTTCATGCAGTATGTGAATTTGAGAACTTTAATGAAATGACTCAGCAGGGGGCCAGGATCCTTGCTTTTTGAATATTCTCATTCTATGCAAGAGGAGGACATGGACATGATGTAAGAGTAACCCAGTGGAATAGCCTGTTTAAAATATAAGGAATAAAAAGAGACTTGCTCTCCCCCTGGCTTTATTTTTGCTATTTTCTGTCACTTTCAAATGTTGCCTTTGATTCGTGACACCCTGTCTTATAGCCAGGTGATTACGGACTGAAACCACCACAAACTGTGAGCTAAATAAATCTTTCTTTCCTTATTTTGTGGGTCTACTGTTGTGTTCCAGCAATGAAATAAAATTAACCAAGCCAGAAGTGGGTACCGGAGTAGTGGGGTCATTGCTGTGATGGTGGTTTGCCATGTGGTTCAAGAAACATTGGGAATGGCTTGTGGGAAGAGTTTGGAAAGGTTCAAAGGTGTCAATTGATAAAGCAGAGCGAGAATTCCTTAGGCTGTTCTGCATAGGACATTCTCACCAGAGTTCAGAAAACCCGAAGTTTGGAAGTAAGACTGCTGATAAAGACCAGGTTGGGAAGGATTCTGCTGGGAAGGATTGCATTGGCTGCTATGTTCCAGATGGTATGTGTCATCATTCAGCAAAAATTTGTCTATATTTCACTCATGTCCAGCATTTTGAGACTAAGATTAACATTGGTGGACTAATTAATGTGGTAGAAGAAATTTCAAGGCAGTAAAATTTTGAGGTGGTGGCGTGGCTATTGCTGGGTTCAACCAGCCATATTTATGTTATGTATCAAGAGCAAGGAACACAAAAGGATTATTTACAACATTGTAAATCTGTCCAGAAAGGAAGCCCTAGTAAACTGTGCACTGCAAAGATACAGCTGAAGAAATCTCAGTTACTGACAAGAAATAGTAAAGAAATAATTTCCTGAAGGCAACAAAAAGCAGCAAGCCTCTACCTATTTAGACTCAAAACTTCAGAAGTGAAAGACTTGCTTTTGAGGAAAAATCCACACAGTGCTGTGCCCCAGCATTGTGCTGGCATAGAAAACTTCTTCCTGAGAATTGGATTCAGAGTGCCCAGAACCATATCTTATAGCCAAGAGATAGAAAATCCTGATTTACTGCTACAGCTAACAGCTGACTTTGGCACATCCATGTGGTGCTTGTTTTAGGCCATTGCAGAATACAAGGCTTATGGGGATACACATGATTTTATTTTGATTTCAAAAGAACTGGGAGACCATGTCGTATGTTTATGAGAGTGCAATGGGTGAAGCTATGAGGGATAAATCAAAGCTGCAGCGAAGATCCCGGAATTTTAGAAAAGTCATGAACTTGAATCACCTAAAAATGCTGCAAGGGGGGAGAAAATCAAACCTAAGAAAGAATCTGTGTAAGCTGTAAGTACCAGAAGTGCCATAGGAGTGCCACACAATTCTTTTGGAGCTCACAAAGTGTCGCAGATCGCTTCAGGTGATATCCATGAAACAACAGGATTGAATGTTTGCCCTGCTGGATTTTGGACATGCTTTAATCCCATTCATTTGTATTCCACTATTTTTGATTGGGTTGGTAATGTTTGTCTTGTGTTTTATTACTATATATCAATTTTTTGCCTTCATAGACTCGTGGTTTACTTAGACGTTTATACATGAATTGCATAAATTTAGTACAAAATAATTGTTTGAATTATTATTTTTCCTATTAATATGTGAAAAACCTGTGTTGTCTGATATAGTTAACCAAGATACCTAGTTTTGAAGCCCAAATTCAATTATTATTGATCCTCATCTTTATCTGAAACCAGCAAACCTCACTGACACAACATGAATGTTTATGAGAATTTATTGTGTTGTAGAAACACAACGTAAGCCTAATTCAATAGCTTCACACATATCTTGCATCGTGGGTTCCTGTACATACAGCCCCAGAATATACTCCTTTTCCTCTGTTCTGCGTTATCAACAGTACATCAGTTGTATCAGGAGAGGGAGGAGCCAGACCTGTAGATGCATGAACCTGAGTCTTAATCCTATTGTCTTTGCTTAATAATGACCCTGAATAAGTACCCCGAAAATGATGAACGTCTGATACTTAGATGTTTAAGGGGTAGATATTTTAGATTCCACATGTAAGGGAGATATTGCAGTTTTTGTATTTAGGTTCCTGGCTTAGTGTTGTGATCATGATGTCTTCTAGGTCCAACTATGATGTGTTAAATGTTGGGATTTCTTTCTTTTTAAGATATTAACTATACATGCAAGAAAATGTAAGAAAAGATTAATATTAAGATTGAATATTCTGCCTTAGAAATCATTGGTTTTGTTTTTCATATTCAATCTGCATGCACATTTATTCCCCAGTTTTACAGGTTTTACAACTTTGATTCTATCTTTGCCCATCCATCGGTCTGGAGGATGTGAACTTACATCCATTAAAATGCAAATGATATATTTGACAAATTATCTGTAATTTTCTATGTTGCAACATATTCAGTGTGTGTGTGCATGTATACATGTGTGTTGGGTACTGAAGCCATGGCTGTGTGTGTGGGCCTTGTTCCCAGCCACAGAACCACACCCTAAGCCCATATCCACTTCAGTACTAAGCAATAATTTGAAATGCAAAGGAAAAGACTTTTTTCTACTCTAGGAAGAATAAGTTTCTAGGAAACACTACATTGGAAGATTATCAAGTTGTTACTTTGTCTTAAAATTTTTGTTTTTACTACAGTGAAAAGTTGCAGAGATTTGGGGACAAGTAAATGTTTACTTCTTTGAGTTTGTCATATTTTAATTCAATCTAGTTATATAATTCAGACCTTAATTTCCACATTTATTCATGTATATATTCATCAATGGCAATGTGGGAGCAGGTGGAGATGTGTGTGAGTACTAAAGCAAAATGATTCCTGCTTTTATTTCTTCAATACTGTTGATTGAATACACAGACTTCATACTGAGATTCACCTCTACCCGTTTTCAATTTGTGTTTTGTGAAAGGTCTTATTAAGTCACTAAATTTCCAAGATTGAGTTAAACTCATGATTCTATGGACTAAGCATCACAAAATGCTGAGATTATAGCCAGGAAAAATTGTGCCTTGCTAGGTTTCTGATTTTATACAATTATGAAAATAAATTCCAGATATAACAAATCCTAAACTCATAAGGGTCTTTTTATTTTAAACAGGATACAACCAAAGAACAAAGGAGATCAGAATAAAACAATGTAAGTGACACAGATTTCAAAGCAAGAGAACAGGCAATCTACAGTAGCTACTATAATGTCTCTTGTTTTCTTCTAAATAGCTGTCTATATCTTCACACACAATGAATTCATACAGAACAAAATACTATAAAAGTGATCAAAACACAACAATGGAGCCATTACAGGCCTTCAAAACCTAAGAATAGGAAAATCAAAAATGGTTACCATAATATCTCTTGTTCACTTCAAAACAGTTGTCCATACATTCATGTATGTTGAAATTAAACAGTACAAAACAGACTAAAACCACTCTAAACAAAGAATAAATACATTACTGAATTTTATAGCATGAGGATATGGAATCAGCAATGGATACCATAATGTCTTTTATTTCAAATTAGATGTTTATTTCATCATATATAATATAATCAATTCTCATAAACTGTTTAGAAGTTCTAGGCATGTATAAGGCAGTGCATGTATACCTATACTTTCTGTATTAGGGAGAAACAAAACAAAACAAAAAAGAAAAAGACAAATAAATCACAATAGCAAAGACCCCAAACAATGATGATATAGGCCCTCAAACAAGATGATAAGAACATACCACAGGTTATTTTACATAGTGATCTTCAAGACTTCTCCAGATCACCAGACACAAACGAGCAAAATTGTTTCACTACCATGAATGTTAACTCTTTTATTCCAAGAACTTATAAAATGTGTAACACAATCACCTGAGCTATCCTGTATGTTTATACAAATTTAAATATATTTTTCTTTCCCTTCCTATTACTTTTTTGCCTTTTTCCTGAAATACTATATTTTTCC